GTCTTACTTCCGGATTTTTATTTTAGGGCTTCAAACAACAAGCTCTTGCAGTATCTACGGATCCAGAGCATCGTTTTGAACTTGCCCTTCAACTTGGAGAATTAAAAATAGCATATCAGCTTGCAGTGGAAGCAGAGGTAAACATGTAATTTTTGGTGATTCATACTAATTCCAAGTATTAACATGAAGCTAAGAGGCCCTGTAAGAAAATACGGTGGTATGTGGGGATGCAGCACAGCTCTCTGAACACTATATAAATGCCTCCAACTTGGTTGATGAAGCTCTTTTGCCTGTAATTCTAAGGAATTCTAAAAGGAATCTAAGCTGTAGGATGGGGATAGAAGAATGTTGTCTGCTCAGAAAGCTACAGGAACTCCTGGAGAAGACAAAACTCGAACCAAGAACTAAGCCTTAATCTTCAGTATTTAACAGTGAGGAGAAATGGCAGGACTGAAGCCTCTGGGCTGTTGTTCAAGTCTTGGCCAACCTGGACTGATACACTAGGAATTCAGAGAATAAATCTGTTATCCCATAGCTGTTATTCAGAGAATTGATCTCAGTTCCTGTTGTAAAATAATGAAGTTAGCGATGAGGAATGTTAACTTAGTTACAGACACAAATGCCTTTCATTCTGAAGGTTAACTTGGGAACTTTCTTTAAGAGACTGTTACTGTTCAAATTTCCAAAGTTATTTCAATCTCCTCCCTCCATGTTTAATGAAAAACTGTTTAGTTTATGTAATGGTATAGCTGTGTAATGATCTGCATTACAACACTCATTGCGTCATTCTGTGAAGCTGCAGTAGTTACAGTATCTCAAAGGGAAGACAAGTGTAATGATGGAATACAATACCTTCACAAATAAATTTACATTTCTATATTGAATGCTTTGAAAATCTTAAAATGCTGTTCATTTTTTGAAGGTTATTTTTTGATATTGTTTTTCTTTCCTTCTCTTTTTGAACCATTAGTCAGAACAGAAATGGAAGCAACTTGCTGAGCTTGCCATTAGTAAATGCCAGTTTGGTTTAGCCCAGGAGTGTCTCCACCATGCACAAGACTACGGAGGACTGCTGCTCCTGGCTACAGCTTCAGGAAATGCTAACATGGTGAACAAGTTAGCTGAAGGAGCAGAAAAAGACGGCAAGAACAATGTTGCATTTATGAGCTACTTCCTGCAAGGAAAGTAAGTAGCAAGAGATTCACTTTGTTCTGTTCTGCTTTCTGAAATGCCAAGAACCTCGGGTTCTTCAAAGGGTTAACTACAGCGAACTTAAAACTTCATGGAGAAAGATTGTAGAATGTGCCTTTTCAGAAAATCTAATTCTATTTTATGTGGCTGCTACTTTTGCAATCTGACATTAAAGCACTTGAATGGAATATAATATACAGCTAACCTAGTGCAAAAATTTACTGGTTAAAATTCCATTTTAAATTTCTTTCAGGCTCGATTCATGTTTGGAACTCCTGATTAAAACTGGGCGTCTCCCAGAAGCTGCTTTTCTTGCACGGACATACTTGCCAAGCCAAGTTTCAAGGTAACTTGAAAGCATATGCAGTGCATGAATAGCGTTGTCAAAATTAGCTGTATGTAACAGATACAGTTTGCATCTCCAGGGTTGTTAAACTGTGGCGGGAGAACCTCTCTAAAGTCAATCAAAAAGCTGCTGAGTCCCTTGCTGATCCTACAGAGTATGAAAATCTTTTCCCTGGATTAAAGGAAGCTTTTGTTGCTGAAGAATATGTTAAACAAAGTCTTGCTGACTTGCGGCCAGCCAGGGAATACCCCCTTGTCACTGTAAGTAAGGAGTGGGAGCTCTTATTGTCTCTAGAGGAAAAACATTCGGTGCTGTATAAATTCAGCTCTAAGCAAGTCAGCACAACCACTTAAGCATTCCATTAACATACATTTTGTTGGGGTTTTTTTTTTTTTTAATTTTAGCCAAACGAAGAAAGAAACTTACTTGAAGAAGCAAAAGGCTTTGAGCCTTCTGGAGTAATGGCACCTCAGGTCAGTGTTAATACTAAATGATGAATTCTAAGAAAGAGGTAACTTCACTATTATATGGGAACATCTACTCTGGACAGTAATTCACCAGTAACAGATAAATTACTGCTCTTACTGGCTTGATTGTAAGCACTGCAGCCGAGTTCTGTGTTCTTTTGCCTCAGACTCTTCTTAATCTACTTCTGTAACTACTAATGACTTCTTGACTGTGAAATTCTCTTTTGTGTGGTTACTTGTTTTGGGTTATCTTTTTTTAGTGTATGTGAGTAATTGAAGAGTCTTAGCATTGAATTCATCCTGGAGAAAAACAGTTTCAATTGCACATACAAACAAACACTATCTCAACAGCTGCTAGTTTTCTAAAAGCTCAATAGTTGAAACTTGGAAACTCTTGCATGTTACAGTAATTAAAAATGCTTTATATTCTTTGCTAGTGTGCATGCTTATGGAATAAGACTATTCCATAACTAACTGACTAGGAATCCTGCTCAATTATTTGAAAATATCTTCTAATCAATATCTAAAGTAACTCTCACTAATTTTTTTTACCACCTCAGTTGTCCAAGTATTATGCAGAAAACACATGACTTAAATATAAGGTATAAGTACACAGATTGAAAGGAACACTTAAAATGCTTTTTGGAGCTTAAATAGAAGATGACAACTTCTAATCCTTGCTCATGTCAAATATGCTTCACATTTGAACATGAATATCAGAACATGAGAGTTTCTTAAAGACAGTCATGTTGGCACAGCTCTTTGATGCCACAAACTTATAAAAACTGCAGTGAAAACTGAAGTAGAGACAAAGTCAACTGTCCATTCTGTTTCTGTGATTTTTCCTTGTAGGAATTGCACTGCCCTCATTTACAGTTCAGAAAAGTTGGCTTGCTTTCAAGTAGCTTTAGTGACTATTTGTTTCTTGTGTATCAAAGCAAGTAACATTAAAACAAAATCAAACTTGTATGCACATTTTTTAAAGAAGATAACCTTTGCGATGTAATTTCTAGCTTGCATTAGAAACTGAAAACAAGATCACTGATGTTAGTTAGGAGCATATCTTCACATTCAGTTACAGATTGCATCGAAGTCCTTCAGTGACAGACAACTGTTGTTTAATATGGGAAGTTTTGTAGGAGATAGTTATATAATTAATCTAAATATGATTAACAGAACAGTACCATTGCTTCAGTAATGGTGTTAACTGATGAATTATCTTAATATAAAACCTGTGCAGCAGCAAAGAGAGAAGGACAAGTGTGAAGCCGTTACAGAATACAGAACACAAAGCCCAGCAAGAGTACTTGCCAAAACTTCTGTGATAGTGTCAATTAACCTGGTCTCTTT